CTAAAAATAATGAATTTATAATTTGAAAATAAGTGCAAAACTTCCGCCAACAGGAATAGTGTTGAAACAATTGAACCAACAATTAATAAAGATAGACCATTTCGATACACATCATCCAGTTAATTTTAAATCCAATAATGCCGACGTAACTTTTGGTTGTCAGGATCTGTATATTTAATAAATTAACTCAAAATGAACTAAATATTATTCAGTTGTTTATTGATATGTTCAGGTTACTTACCGAGCAAGGCGATGATAGTTTATCAAGGTATAAGTTTAATTATTTATCAAACAAGCTAGAATCCTATACATTTAACGTATTAAAAGTTATTTGGATAATAAGTTTTGTAATAATCAGCAAATCATTCACAAGTGTGTTATTGAAGACATACTTTAAAGTGAGTTCTGTACCAATGGTTGAGACATTGGATCAGTTGTGCCGACACGAGTCGATACATATCATCACAACAGAAGAAATTATACATACATTATGTGAAAGTAATTATATCACTGAACACCAGGAAAAGGCATTATTAACACGTATAGTTAAAAATCCAACCAATATTCCGCTTAATATATTGTATGATAATATTTTCGAAAACAGAATTGTAATATTGCTAACTTCAATTGAAATGCAAAATTACAATAATTGGTTCTATGATCATGATAATTTTTACATTTCTCCAAACGATAAAAGTTATCTATATACATTTGGTTATATGCTAATAGCAAAAAGTTTTAAACTTAATAAACAACTAACATTTGCGTATGTAATTTATTACTTAAATTTTATATTAAATTTTCACATAAAAAATATAAAATAATTGTTATTTATTTATTTAGTTATAAACGAAAGCTGGAATGCGGACACGGTTTATATGACACTATGATTGATAAATTATTATTTCACTTAACATACTCTGACTATAATCAATTTGTTGACCATCATGACAATATGCAGTTTAAACCGTCTGATTTTATTGAAATACATCTAGATGATGTGTATCGAAATGGTCTATCTTTATTAATTGTTGGTTCAATTGTTTCAACACTATTCCTGTTGGCGGAAGTTTTGCACTTATTTTCAAATTATAAATTCATTATTTTTAGGGAGAAGGAGAGAGCAATTGGGAACTTATAAACCAAATTCTTTATGTTGAATTGTAATTTAAAGCTTATTGTGTGCTTTATTTGTATATTTATAATTCCTAGACATAATAACAAGGTTGGAATTATAATTCTAGTATCCCTTTATATAAGGGACCATAATAATATTTATATTCCTTATATTCTATTCGCTCGCAATCTCTATGAAATTCCGATGATATCCTTAAATCACTTAAACTGATCATCAGGTTTTGCACACTTGTCTCAGACTCCGATTCCGAGCGGTATTTCAATAGTAGATATCTTTGCAGTAAATATATATACAGTTGTTGTTCGCGTCTAACAAACAAAAAATTTAAGTAATAATTTAAATGTAATTATAATTATTATTAAACCAAAATTTACTTAATGTTTTCTCGGTGTAATAGATTCGGTCGATTCGAGTTATAAAGTATAATAGCCTTTAACTGTGAGAATAATGGATATGACAATTATTTAAATAATTACATTAGTCGTATGCATACTTACTATGTGTATAACAACAGGGTCACTTTTCCACACTGGATCCACATTATGTACAAACCGTTTATACCACTCATAGCCACACCATTGCGTATATTCCGAGAAGTTGTCGCGTATTCTCGCAGAATAATCATTATTCTTATACATGAATATTAATTTTAAATAGCATGATTAAAGCATGTATTAAAAATTGATCACTGTACATTAAAAATTAGTTTGTCTACTTACAACCCACATCACTTCTTCTCGAGTCTCGAGATTTATGTACAGTAAAAATCTAAACAATAATATTTCAAAACACCCGCTCCTAAGTAGTGTCAACCGGTCTTCGCTGCATATTGTGGCCAAACCCTGTAATTGGTTCGCAAACGTAGTAATCTCATTAATTTCACCCTCGGTCACCACTGTTTCTATGCGAAATATTTCATCAAGGTCAGTAATGTCCATGATCGTTCTACTGAGCGAGTGGTCAAACACTTTGGCCGCACATAACAGCTCTGATATCCGCTGTAACTCGAGTTGATTTATGCCGTTATAATCGACGAGCGATTTAAACACCGGAATCGCTGGCCATTGGCTTTCATTTAGCTCTTTGTCTAACAGACAGCTGTTCTCGATGTCTATGATTTGTTGGTTGAGGTCTTCGTGACTGATATCTGCCGTCGAGTCAATCAAAACATCGATTTCGTTGCACTCCTGAGAAGAGTCGGTACTAATTGTCACTGTCTTTGACTCCAGAGATGAAGATCTCGTTGTTTTCAATAGTTTTTGTTGCCGTTTCTCTTCAGCCCTCTGTTGTCTCGACTCGTTTTCCCGATTTGTTGCTATAATTTGCTGTCAAAATAAAATTTTGAAATAAACATTATTAACAGTAAATATAATTTTTAACTAACATTTGTGTTCAGGGGTTTCATTCCGACGGCCAAACACTTATCAAACCTACATTTTTGGCAAAATTTTCTCGTTTTTGGTGTTATAATGCATTTTCTACTTAAATAACATTCAAAACAATTCTGTAATAATTAAGTGAATTCACATTTAAATTTGTATTAATATATTTTGGCTATAATTATAACAAACATTGTTTTTAATAATAATCCGACGAAAAAATGTTTTACACGGATCGCATGTAATTGCACTGTAATTACGACCTAATATTAATTAATTAATAATATTTGTTTTGTTATGTTATTAATTTTTACATAATTAAAAATAACTTACCAACATCATTATTATCACCACAGATTTGACAAATTTTTACTATTATCTTAATTTCACTCATATTTGTACACTTGTAAATTTGATCATAATAAGTTATTAATAATGTACTAAAACAGAGTTTAAATTATTTGTGTGTCACAAAAAAGCTCATGCTAGAATATCTGTATATACAATACATTATTGCCAACATTATAAGTAAGTCCGATAACAGTGTTACACCATTTAAATTAATACACTAAATATCTAAAGTATATTGTTAGATAATAAACATAATAAAAATTTTATATAATGTTATAATAATTAGGCATTTCATTATTAGATTACATGATAGAAGTAAACATAAAGTTTATTTTGCAAATACTTTTTTTACAAATTTCAAAATTGTTATTCACCATGATTAATATACTCAAATGTACACAAAGTTAATAATGTGGTAGATTTAAAATTATAAATCTAGAATCTCTTTATATAGGGGTCCGTAATAATAGCAATCTTTATATTTTTTAAATGCGATTCTCTCGTAGTCTCTATGAAATTCTGATGATATCCTTAAATCACTTAAACTGATCATCAGGTTTTGCACACTTGTCTCAGACTCCGTTTCCGACCGGTATTTCAATAGTAGATATCTTTGCAGTAAATATATATACAGTTGTTGTTCGAGTCTAACAAATAAATAATATTAATTAAAATAACAATTAAAATAAATAAAAATTATTAATTCATGTTTATTAAATATTACTTAATAGATTCTCGTTGCAATAGATTCGCTCGGTTAGGGTTATAAAGTATGATTGCCATTAACTGTAAATAAAATAATGCAATTAAATAAATAAATAAACAAATATTTATAATTACCATGTGAATAACAACAGGGTCACTTTTCCAAACTGGATTCACATAATGCAAGAACCGTTGATACCACTCAATACCACTCCATTTAGTAAATTCTGGTAATCGAGCTTTTATTCGCACAGAATATTCATTATTCTAATGATAAACAGTATCTTTAATTTAGATAATCAATTAAAATGTCACAAATTATTATCATGTACATACCACCCGGATCATGTGTTCCTGTCGCCCTGGTGTAAATTTCAGGGCAACCCTAAACATTAACACTTCGAAACACCCGCTCTTGAGTAGTGACAACTTATCTTGATCACATATTGAAGTAAAACCTTCTAGTTGTTTAGTGAACGTGGTAATCTCATTAATTAGACACTCTGTGCGTAGCATTGCGAACCGGAACATTTCATCCTTGTCAGCAATGTCCATGATCAATTTACTAGTCGGGTAGTCAAACACTTTGGACGCCCCCAACAGCCCTGATATGCGTTTGGACTCGAGTTGATTAATGCCGTTATAATCAACGAGTGATTTAAGCACAGGAATCGCCGGCCATTGGCTGTCATTTAGCTCTTGGTCTGAATGACAGCTGTTCTCGATGTCCATAATCTGTCCAAAGAGTTCTTCGTTACTTATATCACGTTATAATCAACGAGTGATTTAAGCACAGGAATCGCCGGCCATTGGCTGTCATTTAGCTCTTGGTCTGAATGACAGCTGTTCTCGATGTCCATAATCTGTCCAAAGAGTTCTTCGTTACTTATATCGGCCGTCGAGTCAATCAATACATCGATTTCGTTGCACTCCTGAGAAGAGTCGGAACTAATAGTCATTGACTTTGACTCCAGAGATGAAGATCTCATTGTTTTTAGTAGTTTTTGTCGGCGTTTCTCTTCACCCATCCGTCGTCTCCACTCGTTTTCCTCATTGCTTCGTATGATTTGCTGTTTGAATGAAAATTATATTAAATATATTTTTATTAATTAAAAAATATTTTTAATAACAAATTAATTACAGATTTCATTCCGACCGCAAAACACTTGTCGAGTCGGCATTTCTGGCAAACTTTTCGGGTCTTTTGTGTTATAATGCAATTTCCGTCCGAAACACATGTCATTGAATTCTGTAATAATTATTTTAATTAACATTAAATTTTTAAAAATAATATAATTATAACAAACGTTGTCTTTGAGACTCAGCCGACGGAAAAATGTTTTGCATGTCTCGCAAGTAATCGCACCGTAATTACGGCCTAAGGTTTTCAAATAAAATAAATTTTAAGCAAATATATTACCGGTAATTATTTATAGTTGATTAGGTCTAGGCACTCTATTTACATAATTATAACTTACCAACTTGTTTATTATCACCACATATTTGACAGATTTTCACTGTTATCTTATTTTTGACCATATTTGTTACATTACCATGGATATACATGTAATAATTAATATTTATCTAAACACTTATTACACGCAATTACTTTTGATGACGTAAACAGTGTATATTGTAATATCTTATATTTATAATAATACAAACAACTATTATAAGTATTATGAATAAACCACCTAAATCAATAAATTCCCTATTTGTATAATATAATCATTATACAATTATTTACATAAATGTAACTAAATATAAATTGTATTTATAAATATTAATACAATTGATTAACCTTCACGGATATTAAATTATATATAATACGTTGAAACTAATAATAATGCACTTTCATATAATGACACTACCTTGTACAAAAAGTAATCAATTTTTCTTGTCGGTCTTTCGGTCTGTTTAATGATAGCTTTCTCTCTCTCTCTCTCTCTCTCTCTCTCTCTCTCTCTCGACGTCAGTAATTCTTTCATGAAATGTAGTCGTGTTTATAATAATAATTAATTTTCACGGCATTTAAACAGACATATTTTATTTATAAGAACAGTGCAAAATTAATTAATATAACACAAATGTTTTAATTAACAGTATTCACAATAAATGCAATCATATTCTGTAAATAACTGTTATATTTTTTTCATATGTAGTCTCTATTATTCAATATAAGAACCGTAGTGTTTGTCGCTATACTTAAGCTCAATATCACAGACACTTAAATAATTAATATATAAAAATAAAACAAATTCAACAGTAAATTATATCATATTTATTAACTTTATTAGTCTATAAGCAGTTTATATTGTGGTCCGTAATAATAACGAGCGTTGCATTTGTTGTATTCAATTCTCTCGTATTCTCTATGAAGTTCTGCTGAAATTCTTAAATCACTTAAACTGATCATAAGGTTTTGCAGACGTTTTTCCGATTCTGACTGGTATTTCAATAGTAGATATCTTTGCAGTAAATATATGTAAAGTTGTTGTTCGAGTCTAACAAACAATTTTAATTAAAATAAATAAAATAATTATTATAATTATTAAAACTAAGACTTACTTAACATTCTCTCGATGTAATAGATTGGGTCGATTCGGGTTATAGAGTAGGAGTGCTGTTAACTAGAGTTATAAATATGTAGTAAATTTAATAATAACTGAATAATCATTTAAACATAATGCAATATATTAATAATAAACAGTATATATTATATTACAATATTTACCATGTGCAAAATTACAGGGTCATTTTTCCAGACTGGATCCACATTATGTAAGAACCTTTTATACCACTCATAACCGGCCCATTTAGTAAATTCTGGCAATTGTTTGCAAACTCTCACAGAATATTCATTATTCTGATAAAATATAACAATTATTTTGTTTTAATAAAACAAATATTACCAAATATAATTATTTAACTTACCACCCACAGCAATTTCTCCCGTCTCTCGGGAGTAAAATCCAACACAAATCTAAACATTAATACTTCAAAACAACCCGTTTTTAGTAGAGTAAACTGGTCTTCGCTACATATAGTGGCAAAACCATCGAGTTGTTTGGTGAACGTGGTAATCTCATTAATGTGGCACTCCATGCGCAACATTGCGAACCTAAATATTTCATACATGTCCGGAATCTCCATGATCGTTTTACTCGATGGATAGGTAAACACTTTGGACGCCCCCAACAGCTCTGATATACGCTTTAACTGGAGTTGATTTATGCCATTATAATCAACGAGTGATTCAAACACCGGAATCGCCGGCAATTGGCTGTCATTTAGCTCTTGGTCTGAATGATAGCTGTTTTCAATGTCCATAATCTGTCCGTTGAGTTCTTCGTGACTGATATCTGCCGTCGAGTCAATCAAAGCGTCGATTTCGTTGCACTCCTGGGAAGAGTCGGTACTAATAGTCATTGTCTTTAACTCCAGAGATGAAGATCTCGTTGTTTTCAGTAGTTTTTGTCGGCGTTTCTCTTCGCCCATCCGTCGTCTCCACTCGTTTTCCTCATCGCTTCGTATGATTTGCTGTTTGAATGAAATTTAAAAAAATATTTTTGTTAATAAAAATAATATTTTTAATAACAAATTAATTACAGATTTCATTCCGACGGCCAAACACTTATCGAGTCGGCATTTCTGACACATTTTTCTCGTTTGTGATGTTATAATACAATTGCCGTCCGAAACACATTCAATACAATTCTGAAATCATTAAATCAATTCACAAAAAAGTTCGTAAAAACATAATTATATTCATAACAAACGTTGTCTTTGAGGGACAGTCGACGAAAAAATGCTTTACAAGTTTCACAAGTAATCGCACCGTAATTACGGCCTAAAAGTTTTAAATAGATGTTATTTTATCTTATTTAATTATGTTGATTAATTTTAATAACATACCAACTTGTTTATTATCGCCACATATTTGACATATTTTTACTGTTTTTGTGTTATTATCCATGTTTATTTTATTACCATGGATATATTAGATGGTTATATCTCGCCCAAAATTTATATAGATCTAGTCGTTTGTATTGACACAAATAACATATGGTAGATAATAACTAAGTTGTAGTTATTATATAACTTTACTTATATAAAATCACTGTCTTAATAAGGTAAATAGATAAATTGTTAAATAAATAAAGACAGTACTAGTTGATATAATTCTTGTTAATTGTTTAACATATTTAATACTTATTTAGTAGAACTTTACTCATCAAATACTTTGATTAGTTCACGCTGGATTTTTAAAACTTAAAATTTACCAAATGAAAGTTAAAGTTTACCTAGTGGAAAATTATAAATACAGTATCTCTCTACAACTCTCTCTCTCTCTCTCTCTCTCTCTCTCTCTCTCTCGACGTCAGTAATTCTTTCATGAAATGTAGTCGTGTTTATAATAATAATTAATTTTCACCTGGTATCTCTCTCTCTCTCTCTCTTTCTCTCTCTCTCTCTCTTTCTCTCTCTCTAATTTACGCACTCACTTTCATACGTTTACAATCTACGTCAATTTACAATAGACCAGGTGAAAATAATTTATTTAATTCAATTTGACAGTTTGGTCTATTTGACACCAAATACCGGTTATATTTTGAATATAATAAATGACCATATGTTGCATGTTGGTTATGTTATAAAAAATTATGATCACAATCTATTGTAGTCATTAATTATTATGTAATTGACATCACAATTAACGTAAGATTTTTATAACTTTTAATTATAATTGAAACCATGTTTTTATAATTGACATAAAGGACTTGTCTTAAGTTTGTTAAAAGTGGCCAAATTTTAATATAATTTTTATCATGATTAAAGCATATAAAACAAAGATGAAATATATAAAAATTATTATCCTAGGTCAAATTTTTAAAATTTTAATATTTATTTTTTAAAAATTTTTTNTATATAAAAATTATTATCCTAGGTCAAATTTTTAAAATTTTAATATTTATTTTTTAAAAATTTTTTATTGCTCAAATGTGTTCTAAATATGTTTTACTTTCCATTTTTATAAAAATTCACATATTGTCAAAAAACTCGGTATTATAATCAAAAACTCAAGAGTTTCTCTTCAGATCCTTTTGTAGACTAAAGACTCGAAGACAACACAGCATTCAAATCATTATCACTGGTAGTAATGTTGTTATGGGTTTCAATGACAAGCATTTGCAGCGCCGGTAGTCTTGAGAGGTGTGACAAACACTCGGTGTCTATAATGCCATTCAAGTCACGAATGAATAGATAGTGAAGTCGTGGACAGTATTGATGCAAATCCTTCAACACATTTGTGTTTATTTTCTTTAAATAGATCTCTAAATGCGTTAATCTCTTGCAGTGTCTCAACGGTTCCAACACTCGCTCATCGATGACGGCATAGATCTCCAAACATAACTGTCTTAATGGGCCATAAAATCTCAACCAATCCAACGATATATTGAGCACCGATTGTGCGGACAACTGGAGTGACAATCGTTGCAATTGTTTGCAATTCACGCCAATTGTGCGCATAAAGTCGGTCACAGCCGCCGATGTCTGGCCGTGCGATAAATTCAAACTGAGTATCAGTTCCCGTAATTGTGGTAATCGTGACAATTGTACCGACAGTTTCTTCAACTCTTCAGGTCTAATATAAGACAACTTTATGGCCAGACTTTGGAGGCACTGAAAGACACGGTGCTTACTTCAGGTCGCCACCATGAGTATCCGCCGCACAAAAGATTTGTGATAAAATACGTGTAAAAACTGTTTGTTAAACAGCATTTAATACATTTTCTACAGTAATTTACTTAACTCCCTTAATTGTGACAATCGGTGGCAATGAGTGAGCGCTTTGCTGTCGTTATACGAGTTTATGGCACCGATTCGTGTGACCAGTGGTCCAAATGTGGCCATCATTTGACGGCTATTCGCACCCAAATCGCAGTAAATGTCTCGTAAATGACGGCAATAGGCTCTCAATATACCCAACACTTCGGGAATGCGTTTCTCGTAGTCTTTGGTTATTCCTCGGCAGTCAATAGTCTGAATCTCCGCACACTTTATGGCAATTATAGCCAACATATCGGTATCACTTTTCTTGGCATTCAGTAATCGCTGTATAAATCGGTCGCTAAGAGTAATGTCCACAACACTCGCGAAGACTGTCCTCTGCAACTGTTTGGACACACATTCGCATTGAAACCGGTCTTCAAATGAGAGATAAGACAAGAGAAGTGCACACAAATCATCACCGAATCTGTCCATTGAGTTCTTCGCGTAAATCTTTGGCTAAAATGTGAAACAAAATCAATTAAAACTAAATAAAGAGTAAAATGTTTCACAAAAACCTGATGTCTTTTTTGGTCTTCATTTTCACAGCCATATGTGGTCTCGAGTGATGTCTTCAAGTGTTTCATCTGTTGTGCCATATCTTGGGATCAAATGAAGTGATTGTTTGAATGAATTGTGGTTTTGTCACAAAAATATCATAATATTTGCATTCAATGAAAGCCAACACAAAGTGTTGACAACGAGTGAGACATCTATTGACACATATTTTCTAACTTTTCTAACTTCTCATCACTTTTTGCCCACACTTTCAATGAGTGTTTAATTGGGTTTTAAATACAGATTTAATTTAAATAATTATATTTATTTCAAATTTCAATACTATATTAAAAAACAATATATTTTATAACAAAATTTAAATGAAATAAATTCTTAATAAATACTGAAGTAATAAAACACAGAAATGAATGCAAAATTATTTAATCATTTAAATGTATTAAATATTTATAAACAATATTTAATTGTCAATACTTTATTAACAAAACATTAGTAAAAATACAATTAATGTATGAAATGAATGCAAAATCTAAACATTATTTAAAAAATTAATTAATTATATTTAAAAATCACTAAATATTAAAAACATTTTGAATAAAACTTCTTAACATTTTTTACATGGATTTCAATTGTCTTTAGTTTAGGACTTCTAGACAATAGATCCCAGAAATCATTATCTCTCAGACCTCCGCTTCTCTTGCAGTGAATGACAAGCATTTGCAGCGCCGGTAGTCTTGAGATCTGATCCAAACACTCCGTCTCTATAATGCTATTCATGTTTTGAATGCATAGATATTGAAGTTGTGGACAGTTTTTGCGGATAATTTTAAACACATTTGCGTTCATTTTAGTCAAATAGATGTCTAAATGTGTTAACCGTCGGCACTCTCTCAAGACATCCAACGATATCTCATCGACGGTCACATAAAGTGTTAGATCTAATCGTTTTAATCGCCGGAAATATGCCAACGAATCCAATGTCTTGAGATTGTATTCACACTTCTTTGAGAATAAACTAAACGACAATCGTTGCAATTGTTTGCAATTCACGCCAATTGTGCGCAAATAGTCGTTGAATGAGTGCTGCGAACCCTTTATCTTAAACCCGAGACTCAATCGCCGTAATTGTGTTAATCGTGACAATTGTCCGCACATTTCGGTCAGAGTCTCGTGAGTGCCGTCTATATGGGTCCCAATGACAACACTTCTTAGGGACTGATTGTGTGCCACAAATGCAGACAATCGGTGGTTATCAAAGTCTGGATGGTAACTAAACTTTAACTCATATTTCAGCAAATTCTTCACGAGTGGTACTCCGGAAGTATAGACAGAAGTGAAGACTCGATCAAAACAATAAGTATTCAATTGTGACAATCGGTGGCAATGAGTGAGCGCTTGTTTGCTAACATAGGACCCAATGTTACCGATTCGGGTGACCAGTGGTCCCAACGACGGCATTATCTTCTCATTATCTTTATATAAATTGCAGTAAATATTTCGTAAATTAAGACATTTATCTCGAAATGTGTTCAACACATCGGGAATGTATCCTTCATTTATAGCGCTTATTCCTCGGCAGTCAATGGTCTCAATGTTTGCACATTTTATGGCAATTGTGGCCAACATTTTGGTGTCAATTGTGTACTCAATTTGTGTGTAAATCGTAAACTCGACGTCAATTGCCGTCCAATACAGTAATCTCTGAATGAATTCATCGCTAAGAGTGAAGTCCACAACACTCACGAAGACTGTCCTCCGGAACTGTTTGGACACACATTCCAAACGAAATATATCTTCGAGTGAGAGATAAGACAGCAATAGTTGACACAAATCATCACCGAATCGATCCAAAGAGTCTTTCGCATAGATTTGTGGCTAAAATGAGTGATAAAATCAATTAAATTTCAATAAACAGTCAATTGTTTATTAAATACGTGTTGAATGTTGTCTTCATTGCTGTCATCTCTCCTCTTGAGTGGTATCTTAAAGCGTTTCATCTGTTGTGCCATATCTTGGGATCAAATGAAGTGATTGTTTGAATGATTGTGTATTCGTCACAAAAATATCATAATATTTACATTCAATGAAAACACGTGTCAATAATGTAATGAAAATATGTGTCAAATAGGGTAGGATATCGTTATCCTGGGCAGCACTCTTAACCATTACTATGTATTAGCATTAAGTTAAGAAGTTTATGTCGAATATCTCGAATACTATCATACCCATTTTAAATCTGATTCGATATTCGTGATT